CGTCGGCTTTAAGCTATCGCCTGTTCGTCCAGTGGGATTTACTGTTTTGTTTTGTAACTACAACTAATATACCTACACACTAACCTCTTCATATGATTATCCTTATGAATCATTGTGAAATGTGCGCGCGACTAAGCCGGTCCTTATTGAACTAAGCACGACCGGTTGATAAAGGGTTAAAATTGAAATTTTGCGAGAAATAAAACCACTTTTACAGTTTAATTTTGCATTTACTAATTTGTTTTTACCCATCGTTTCGAATTATACCTAGTATGAATTTAATTTAATCAGTTTTTGAAAATTCAACCATACTTTTATTTTTTTTTGCTTAGATGGGTGGACGAGCTCACAGCCCACCTGGTTGTTAAGTGGTTACTGGAGCCCATAGACATCTACAACGTAAATGCGCCACCTACCTTGAGATATATAAGTTCTAAGATCTCAGTATAGTTACAACGGCTGCCCCACCCTTCAAGCCGAAACGCATTACTGCTTCACAGCAGAAATAGGCGGGGCGGCGGTACCTACCCGTGCGGACTCACAAAAAGTCCTACTACCACTAATTACGCAAATTATAATTTTGCGGGTTTGATTTTTATTACACGATGTTATTCCTTCACCGTGGAAGTCAGTCGTGAACATTTGTTAAGTAGGTACTTATTTCATTAGAAAAATTGGTACCCGCCTGCGAGATTCGAACACCGTTGCATCGCTAGATACCTTCGATCAACAATAGTTGTTGATCGAAGCTAGATACGAATGCATCGGACGTCTTAACCTTTAGGTCACGACGACTTCAAAATACTTTTAATTAAGTTCTTATAATTTTTATTAAAATATTTTGAAGGTTTCCTCACTTTAACCAATTCCATAAAACGGAATGCTACGAAATAAAATAAAATAGTAAAAAAAAGTGCAATCAGGCCTACAGCTTAGAAGATATTAGAAAAATATACAACGCATAGACAACTTACCTTCTAGTGAACTTGAAGCTAATATCTTAAGGAACTTGAGTCCCATCGGTCGATGGACAGCCTCATTCTAAGGTGACGTTATTGAGGCTGCAGTAGTTTTACTTCGGAAGTTGGATCTTCAGTAAATCAGCCCTAAAACATTAACTAGTAACGTAATAATTAACTACCACAGAGCTTATCGTATAGTGTAGGATAAAAATGCCACCGTAAAATTACTATCGTAAATTTATTTAATGATACTGTTTTATTTAATATACCAACAGTATTATTTGACTTAAGATACGAATGTGCTCTGTCTTTTAACAACGTAACCGTCAGTCTGATATCACAAACATTGTAAAGGAGACTATTTTTGTGTTTATGAGATGTTTTGACTGTATAACAACGCAGGACCCTGGACAAAACTGTTCTTCCATATAATATCAGTCTGATCCTCGAGTCCAACTGCTTAAATATTCCCTCGAATCTAAAAGTTTCCCATATTTTCTTTGATATGACCAAAATCATGTAACACTCTATTATTTTAGCTTGGCTTAGACGCAGATTCTCCAAAGTTTCTGCACAGATAAACTCTTTAACAATAAAATGTGGTGTGAATTCGTCACGGAATACGCACGTAAAGAAATATGTAAGGTTTAATATACATATGTCTCCTAATAAGGACAATGATGAGATGTAATTATAATAGGTTTGACTATTCAATCATATAGTAGAGATAGTAGATTACTGGTGGTAGGACCTCTTGTGAGTCCGCACGGGTATTACCACCCTGCCTGTTTCTGCCGTGAAGCAGTAATGCGTTTCGGCTTGAAGGGTGGGGCAGCCGTTGTAACTATACTTGAGACCTTAGAACTTATCTCAAGGTAGGTGGCGCATTTACGTTGTAGATGTCCATGGGCTGCAGTAACCACTTAACACCAGGTGGGCTGTGAGCTCGTCCACTCATCCTAGCTATAAAAAGAAAACGATATCAATCTCGTGATTCAGAGTTCAGAACAACAACGATGCTATTATATTTACTTTATTTGAAAGCGTAGACAGACGAATGGAGACAAGCCACAATGTCCATAGACACTTGCAACTCACTATCCGAACTGTCTTGTAATAATAAAATCAAAGAATGATTCAGAGAATTAACGAGCAGTACCGCCCACGGCATCCCTTTACCAACATGCCAGCACTAAATTTATATTTAGACATTAAAAACAATAATAACTTCATTTAAGTGACATTTTCCGTTTCTCTAAAATCACGGGATATTTATTACTTATCTTAAAGAGAATTGAGGATGTGATTATAGATAATTCTAAGGACTTCTTTCTGTTTGAGACTTGAAGGAGCGGATAATAATGTCAGACCTTAATATCTTATAACCTCAGAAAACGATCAACAATCTCTGCACCGTCTTATCGTTTCGAAGATATAGTGATATTTTATTATAGACTAGATGACCCGGCAGACTTCGTAGTACCTCAGTCGATAAATAAAGTAGGTACCTAAACTTTTGTATAAAATAAACTTAAAACAAACAAAAGGAATCCGTCCGACGGGGGACAAAACATCAAAGGAAAAACAAAATTGTCATTTTTATTTAATTTCGAGCACTTTCATATTTGTTTACCTTTTTAACCTTCTCTGGACTTCCACAAATAATTCAAGACCAAAATTAGCCAAATCGGTCCTGCCGTTTTCGAGTTTTAGCGAGACTAACAAACAGCAATTCATTTTTATATCTAATATATAAAATTCTCGTGTCACAATAGCCCAAGAGCCCGCGACAGCCAGACCTTCCTTATTTTATAAAAGCTGAAAGTTTCTCTGTGTATGTCTCCAACACAGGTAAGAACGACCCCCGATTATAGAGTTTCGATTGTGGTTACTTGGGCAGGTAACAGGCAGTAAAGGTATATAAAATAGTACCTTAAATTCGTTAAAGTATAAAGGTTTTTTTTTTTAATATTTACTCCAGAATATCTTTAGAAATCATGATATCCGTTGCCGNGAAGGATAACCGGGGGAGGGGTCTGGGTTTTATTTTGTGCCACCGGACGCGGCGACGGAGTGGCACGGGCTGGGGGCGCAACGGGAGTCTGAGGGCGGGGGCGCGACGCGTTCGCGGCTTTGCTAATTTTAGCGGCCGCGGGAGCTCGGGACTCCGCGGCACGCTTCTTACCCTTCTGTACCAGGGTGAATCCATCCGTTGATGAGGCGGGGGCGAGGTCAACCTCCATGTCCGAGTCAGAGTCGGAGCACGAGGAGGCGGGTGCAGGCGACCTACGAGCAAGTGTAGGTGTTTTAGAGGGCGCGACGGAGGCCGCGGATGATCGCTCAGCTGAAACGATGGTTATTTAATGGTACTGTTTCATGTAATGTACCAACAATATTATTTGATTTAAGATACGAATGTGCTCTGTCTTTTAACAACGTAACCGTCAGTCTGATATCACAAACATTTTAATAGAGACTATTTTTGTGTTTATGAGATGTTTTGACTGTATAACAACGCAGGACCCTGGACAAAACTGTTCTTCCATATAATATCAGTCTGATCCTCGAGTCCAACTGCTTAAATATTCCCTCGAATCTAAAAGTTTCCCATATTTTCTTTGATATGACCAAAATTATGTAGCACTCTATTATTTTAGCTTGGCTTAGACGCAGATTCTCCAAAGTTTTTGCACAGATAAACTCTTTAAGAATAAAATAGTGTGTGAATTCGTCACGCAATGCGCACGTAAAGAAATATGTAAGGTTTAATATACATATGTTTCCTAATAAGGACAATGATGAGATGTAATTATAATAGGTTTGACTATTCAATCATATAGTAGAGATAGTAGATTACTGGTGGTAGGACCTCTTGTGAGTCCGCACGGGTAGGTATCACCACCCTGCCTGTTTCTGCCGTGAAGCAGTAATGCGTTTCGGCTTAAAGGGTGGGGCAGCCGTTGTAACTATACTTGAGAGTTGAGACCTCAGAATTTATCTCAAGGTGGGTGCTGCATTTACGTTGCAGATGTCTCTGGGCTCCAGTAACCACTTAACACCAGGTGGGCTGTGAGCTCGTCCACTCATCTAAGCTATAAAAAGAAAACGATATCAATCTCGTGATTCAGAGTTCAGAACAACAACGATGCTATTATATTTACTTTATTTGAAAGCGTAGACAGACGAATGGAGACAAGCCACAATGTCCATAGACACTTGCAACTCACTATCCGAACTGTCTTGTAAGAATAAAATCAAAGAATGATTCAGAGAATTAACGAGCAGTACCGCCCACGGCATCCCTTTACCAACATGCCAGCACTAAATTTATATTTAGACAATAAAAACAATAATAACTTCATTTAAGTGACATTTTCCGTTTCTCTAAAATCACGGGATATTTATTACTTATCTTAAAGATAATTGAGGAAGTGATTATAGATAATTCTAAGGACTTCTTTCTATTTGAGACTTGAAGGAGCGGATAATAATGTCAGACTTTAATATCTTATAACCTCAGAAAACGATCAACAACCTCTGCACCGTCTTATCGTTTCGAAGATATAGTGATATTTTATTATAGACTAGTTGACCCGGCAGACTTCGTAGTACCTCAATCGATAAATAAAATAGGTACCTAAACTTTTGTATAAAATAAACTTAAAACAAACAAAAGGAATCCGTCGGACGGGGGACAAAACATCAAAGGAAAAACAAAATTGTCATTTTTATTTAATTTCGAGCACTTTCATATTTGTTTACCTTTTAAACCTTCTCTGGACTTCCACAAATAATTCAAGACCAAAATTAGCCAAATCGGTCCGGCCGTTCTCGAGTTTTAGCGAGACTAACGAACAACAATTCATTTTTATATAATATATAGATAGATTGGTAGAAAAGGTCCCTTATACAACTTAACACCCGTTGGAGTGTGATCTTATCTGCTCGTTAATGCTATAAAATATTGAAATAATTCATTACAAAGACAAGAGGATATCAAAAATCGTGTAAAATACCAATTCTTTATTTTTATTCTAGACACAAGTGGAAGACTCAACGTCGCAAAGCAACGACAGGGACCACACGCTTCTCTGCGGTTGGGGAAGGTTTCGTCCGAACTGGCTCCAGAGGTTCCGTACAGCTAAATGGGCTTTGTTCTGGTTATGCTGGGCAGGAGCTATACAAGGTGAGATAATGAGTTTTAATGCTTTAATGCGGGTTATCTATTACAACGTGTCGATTGTGAATTGGGACATACGCTTATTGCCACAATAGCTTTGACGAGCTCACGTCCCGCTTGATATAAAGTAGCCACTGTAACTTATGGACATAATAACGTCAAATTTAACGGCCGTCTGGTGTAGTGGTAAGTGACATGGTCACTACACAAGGGGGTCGCGGGTTCGAATCCCGCCAAGGAAAGGTATTTGTATGATAAATATAAATGTCTTTTCCAGGGTTATGGATGTATCTTAAATATATATATGTGTATAATAAAAATCTTACATTTATTTCTGTTATCTGGTACCTGTAACACAAGTTCTTTACCAACTTATCACGGGACCAGTTAACGTGGTTTTTAAAAAAAATAAAAAATAAAATAAAAATAATAATGGAACGCATTCCCAACCCATCTGAAGATATGACCTCAAATTCCCAATTTATTATTGCATAGACGGGTGAACGAACTCAAGGGCCACCCAGGATATTCTGCCACTAATCTTGAGGTTTCACATCTTTGTCTCAATTGTATAGTAAATAATTGTTCGTCGAAGCTTACATTCTGCTTTGAACACGGATAGAAATAATCTTCACATCTACAGTCATTTGACTTGGGTAAAGACCGAAAATAAATCAGCTCAGTTAAAGTGCTAGAAGAAGCTGCTTCAGTTGGCGTAACGCATAAAATATTATTTCAAAATACAAACACCCGTGACCTCTGAACGACACGGGAAAAATTATAGCTTATTATTTTCATGGCCAATGCACGAACGCTGGAGGTGGATACGTTTTTGGAGTCACGTAACGTTTCCGTTGGCCTTAACAACCTCGACAATATTGTTATAGGGTTTGTATGTTAGGAAAATATATTCTAGAGTATATCTTGAAAGCGATCGATTGGTTTATTTAAAGTTGACGTGTCAAAGTATACAATTACAAGAACTGTATACCGACTTGCGACGTTGAGAGTTTGAAACTTTGAAATTTTTACTTTAAAACAAAAAAAAACCGTCTTGATCGGTCCTATTGTTTCCCATTTCAAGTGTCGTTTCCATTAATTAACAGAAAACAATTTTGATGTTTGTGAGCAGCAGATGTTACTCAGGTAGATTGTACACTAGACTGCTTCGGAGATAAAAAAAGGGCCGATGCAATGGGCTGGCCATATTAGCCGGACAACCGATAACCGTTGGGGTAAACGCGTTCTTGAGTGGAGACCGCGAACTGGGAAACGCAGTGCAGGACGCCCTCAGACTCGGTGGACTGATGATCTGTGCAGGGTGGTTGGCAGGAGCTGGATGAGAGAAGCCGAGGATCGTGCTCAGTGGCGAACATTTGGAGACGCCTATGTCCAGCAGTGGACTGCTATAGGCTGATGATGATGATGATGATGATACAAAGTAATAGTGTCGTACTCTTTGTTACGTACTTGCTCAAAAACTGCTTGTAGCTATGCACTTTTTCCCACCTATTAGCTGGTAACTTAATAGGCTACTTGCATGGACGGGTAGGTGAGCTTACGAACTTAACCTGAGAGAATTTGCTAATACTCGTACCAGCCTTAGCAAGAGCAGGGCTCCGCAGAATCTACCTCCGGATTGAAATCGCAACCCCCTGAGAAGATCCGGCGAGAAACTCAGTGGGCTGTGTCTAAGGGCAAGTTCGCTCGTGGAACTCTTCGTCGTAATCGACTAGTTCAACGAGGACGGTGACCGGTCATTTTTGCACATACGAAACCTATCAATAAATACTTAACCCTCCCTAATATAGTGGACCTCATTAAGTTTGGCTTGTGAGCCCAGGCAGGCTGTGAGCTCGTCCACCCATCTAACCAATAAAAAAAAAAAGATTTTAGCTTAAGTCCAGCAATGCGTCTCGTTGTACCTATATTAAACAGGCGATATACTTTCATTAAAAAGTTTCCCTCATTCTAAAGGCATTACGCGGTGCAACGCTACGCGCTACAGTCAGACCGAAAACAATGATAACAGCGATTTAAAATACTGGAAAGGTCAACTTGGGTTGTTTAGAGGATTCTGTTGCCGAATTGTAAAAACGATAGCTATCACTTGACAGATTAAATAATCAGGGATGCCACTATCTGTATGCATATTTGTATATGTAACTGTAGATGAAAAAGAAAATCTGTATTTGACAACCATAATTATATATTTTATGGGTGTGTAGAGATAAATTTTCTAACCCATGCATCAGCCCGCTGAGTTTCTCGCCGGATCTTCTCAGCGGGTCGCGATTCCGATCCGGTAGTAGATTCATTCGCGAAACAATTGCTCTTGAGTTGTTAGGTCTCCTTCGGAGGCGCTCGGGCAGTTGTTAGCAAATCCCACCCCTCTTGGCTGAGCCTTTGCTCGCCCACCTGTCCTGGTGAAACTGGAAAGGCCTTNGCGATTCCGATCCGGTAGTAGATTCATTCGCGAAACAATTGCTCTTGAGTTGTTAGGTCTCCTTCGGAGGCGCTCGGGCAGTTGTTAGCAAATCCCACCCCTCTTGGCTGAGCCTTTGCTCGCCCACCTGTCCTGGTGAAACTGGAAAGGCCTTCGGGCCACCAGTAAACTTTCAATCATAAAAAAAAAAAAAAAAGATAAATTTTAAAGGTGATTATAGTAGTATGAAGAATTTAATGTTCTAAGCATGTAAACATTGCAAAGAAAATAATTTTTAAAATTTAAACCTGCAACCATAACGTTAATTTAATTTCGATAAGATGGACAATTATTTTTTTGATTTGAACTGGAGGATCTTTTGGTTGGGCCGTGGTACGAGGTAAGGGAACTATTATTATTGACCATGTTAACTTTTATTATGGAAACCTTCTGTAGTGACGGTTGAGCTAGATGCTGAGATCAAAGAGATGGATACTAAAATTCTTACTATTGCTGCCGCGTAGTCTTTATGCATTTCGGCTTAAAGGACAGGTAATATATAACAATGCAATTAAAAATCAAATGTATTGTTTTAATTTGAAAGCCATTGGTTACAACATGAGCGGTCTTCAATATCGTCACCTACCTTCACACATGCGGTCTCAGACCCAATTTTACTGAACAATAACAAGGATCAAGACGCTTCTATTACAATTGACTCTGCGTTCTACAAAATAAACCTCGTAACATAAATCTGTATTAAGTTGGGCGTTTTCCGAGAGTTATGGTCTCCAACAGGTGTACCTGACTCCGTAGTTCTCCCGTTTGGAAGTTTAATATCAACAATATAATGCATTCGGTTTTTCGGTAAACAAAACAACGACATTAACATTGTTTGAGTTGGTGAAGCCTTACACTACCACACGTAACACTACAATGCTTTCGAGAAGGTGGCCATGTTATAATTACTAAATTTTTCTAAGGGTTCAGCGAGTAAACTAACCCATAGACACAGCCCACTGAGTTTCTCGCCGGATCTTCTCAGTGGGTCGCATTTGCGATCTGGTGGTAGATTCTGCGAAGCACTGCTCTTGCTAGGGCCAGTGTTAGCAATGTCGTCTGGTTAGAGCCTCGTGAGCTCACCTACTCGCTCGGTGAATCAAATATGACCGCTCGAGGTCACTAGAATAGGCTGGGAAAAAATACTACTAGTAAGCGACTGCTAAATTTAATAGCATTTTGGCATAATTTTATATGGGTCCAAACGAGCGAGTATCACCATCTTGCCTATTTCTGCCTTAAATCAATCATGGGATGGGACTTGAAGGGATGGATACCTGTTATATAATATAACTGAGATTTGACCCCATGTCTCAAGGCGTCCATCATGCCGTGATGTCTATGGGCTTCGGTAACCATTAAACACGGCCGGCTCTCTCCTTCCTCTTATTCCTATAAACACCCTATAGCTTTGTTTACTTATCAAGAGCTTTTAAAGCCATAAAAACGTCTCAAGTTAAACGAATCGAGAATCTTGCACCTGTTGTGCTTAGTTCGCGGTAACTTATTGCTTTCATTGTACCAAAGTTTAAAGTAAGTTGGATGTAAGTTCGCGAAGCCATTAAAGCGTCAAACAATGCCTTTGTTTTTACACGAACAATGCGCTTCATTTGAACCGACTATATTCAACTTGACGATTTTTTTTATTTTGTTATTTGTTTACCTAAGAAGGACAGAGTTATTATGTGTTAAACTTTTTAGAGATTGTGTAAAAATTATGGACACGCCAGTTCGAGTCCGATTAATGAATAAAGTGATCTTAAGATTAGCAGGCGTGCAGGCTGTTGCCTTGTGGTAATTGTTTTTATTGTTTGAGATATTTGTTGAGCCCTTATATATTTAACGACTTCATATAAGAGAACTATAAAATTGATGCGTTGCTCTTGGTACCTGGATTTGAAAGAGGTTTGGTGTCATGGCGGACGTGGCTCGCTGACATTTTGACGTTCAGAAACTGAAAACTGACGCTATACCAGCAGTAATAGTCGAAGTCGTCGTGGCCTAAAGGATGAGACGTCCGGTGCATTCGTATGTAGCGTTTTAACTATACCGTTGTAACTATACCTTAGAACTTATATCTCAAGGTGGGTGGCGCATTTACATTATAGATGTCTATGGGCTCCAGTAACCACTTAATACCAGGTGGGCTGTGAGCTCGTCCACCCATCTAAGCAATAAAAAATAAATACATAAAATAATTTTTTTGCGGGTTTGATTTATTACACGATGTTATTCCTTTACCGTGGAAATCACTCGTTAACATTTGTCAAGTACCTACGTATTTCATTATGTTTTGAAAATAGTTTAATTGTAGACGAGCTGAGGTGTTCTTATTTCTTATTTTTATGGTAATCTAGTAAAATAAATACATATTTAAGCGTAGAATCCGGCTCAACTTCCAGATTAAACCTCAAATATTTTAATTAATCATCTAACTTGCACTCCCAAAACGTATCAAAGCCCTACCATCCCCAAGCTGACAAACTTTTAATAATTCATATTAACTGTTAAAGTTATGCCG